TTATTTGTAAGATTAGAATAATAGTATCTATCCCATGGTGTGAAGACTGAATGAGATAATGCTATGTGTAAAGCCCTAAAAACAGTGTTTTGTCTATGGTGAGCAGACAACAAATGACATGTTATTAACATGATCTGAATTACAAAGACTCAAATGACAGTTTTACTTCATTCTGGCACACACTCATTGCTAAAATAAGGGTACTGTCCCCTAACTATGCTACTAATATGCTGTTTTTATTCCAAAGAGACATAAGTTTAATAACTCAATTGATTTTAAAAGTATTTATTTAAGCAGAGTTAGTAATTGCACCATCACTACCTTTTGTTTTTGAGTCCTTTTAACTTCTGAACAGCTTTTATATTCTCATAAGATTCCTATAAGCACTACAGGACATATATACTCATATTATAACTAGGAAACTGGATAATATACAATCAGTGATTGCCCATAATAGAGTTAAGACCAACATACTCTTACTTTAGGATCCATACAAATCAACCTAAACTCAAAAAGATATTGAGCCCTTATTATGTACGCAACATTGTACTAGGTGCTTCAGAGGATTAAAGTTATGTAAAACACAATCCATTGCCAAAGGAATTACTTTCTAACTGGGGAGATATGATTTTACTTGCCTTTTGCATAGTCTCAGCAATTTTGCCTAGATTTCAGAAATCTGTCAAGGCACAATCCATGAAAAAAAGAATTGATAAACTAGGCTTCATTAAAACTAAAAATATCTGCTCTGTGAAAGGCATCATCAAGAGAGTGAGAAGAGAAGCAATAGATTAGGGAAAAATCTTTGCAAAAATGAAGCTGGGAAAGGACTGTTATTCACAATGCACAAAGAATTCCCAAAACTCAACAATAAGAAAACCACTTGATTAAAAAAAAAAAAAAACAGATCAAAATTCTCAACAGATACCTCATCAAAGAAGACAAAAGATGACAAAGCAGCATATAAAAAGATCCTCCGCACCATATGTCTTCATAAAATGTAAATTAAAAAACAATGTTCAATGCAGGACTATTCACAGTAGCTAGGACATGGAAGCAACTGAGTTGTCTATCAACAGATGAATGGATAAAGAAGCTGTGGTCAGTCAGTTCAGTTCAGTTGCTCAGTCAAGTCCGACTCTTTGCGAGCCCATGAACTGCAGCACTCCAGGCATCCTTGTCTATCACCAACTCCCAGAGTTTACTCAAATTCATGTCCATTGAGTCAGTGATGCCATCCAACCATCTCATCCTCTGTCGTCCCCTTATCCTCCCACCTTCAGTCTTTCCCAGCATCAGGGTCTTTTCAAATGAGTCAGTTCTCCACATCAGGTGGCCAAAGTATTGGAGTTTCAGCTTCAGCATCAGTCCTTCCAATGAATATGCAGGACTGATTTCCTTTAGGATGGACTGGTTGAATCTCCTTGCTGTTCAAGGGACTCTCAAGAGTCTTCTCCAACACCACAGTTCAAAAACATTAATTCTTCGGCCTCAGCTTTCTTTGTAGTCTAACTTTCACATCTCTACATGACTACTGGAAAAACCATAGCTTTGACTAGATGGACCTTTGTTGGCAAAGTAATGGCACATATATACAATGGAAGCTGTGGTACATATATACAATGGAATAATACTCAGTCATAAAAAGGAATGCATTTGATTCAGTTCTAATGAGGTGGATGAACCTACAGCCTACAGAGTGAAACAAGTAGAAAGAGAGAAAACAGCTATTGTATATTTATATGGTATCTAGAAATATGGTCCTGATGAACATATTGCAGGGTAGCAATGGAGGTGCAGACATAGAGAACAGACTTGTGGACACAGGGATGGGGGAAAGAGAGGGTGAGATGAATGGGGAAAGCAGCATGGAAACAGATATGCTACCATATGTAAAATAGATAGCATGTGGGAATTTGCTATATGACTTGGGGAGTTCAAACCAAGGCTCTGACAACCTACAGGAGTAGGATGGGTTGTGAAGGGAGGTTTAACGGGAGGGGACATATGTATACCTATGGCTGTTTCATGTTGTTATATAGCAGAAATCAGCACAATATTAGTTGTGGATAATTGTAATTGTCCTTCAGTGAAAAATAAAGAAAACCAATGTGGTACCACTACACATCTACTGAGCATCACTGACTCAATGGACATGAGTTTGAGTAGACTCTGGGAGATGGTGAAGGACAGGGAAGGCTGGTGTGCTGCAGTCCATGGGGTCACAAAGAGTTGGATGCAGCTGAGTGACTGAACAACAACACATCTACTAGAATGGCCAAAATCCTGAACACTGACAAGACCAAATGCTGTGGGGCAACAGGAGCTCTCCTTCATTGCTAGTGGCTATGAATAAGCATACAGCCACTTTGAAGCCAGGTTGTAAATTCTTACAAAATAAAACTTACACTTTGCATACCATCAGCAATTGCCATTCTTGGTATTTAACCAAATGAGTTGAAATCTTATGTCCACACAAAAGCCTGCATATGACTCTGTTTACAGTAGCTTTATTCATAATGGCCAAAACTTGGAATAACCAAGATATCCTTCAGTAAGTGAATGGATAAACAAACATCCAGACAACAAAATAGTACTTAGCACTAAAAGAAGTGAACTATCAAGCCATGAAAAGACATGGAAGAGTCTTAAATGCAGATTACTAAGTAAAGGAAGCCTGTCTGAAAAGGCTACATATTATATGACTCCAAGTATATGATATTCTGAAAAAGGCAGAAACAGTTACAGATCAGTGCCAGAGGTGAGTATAGAGGGATGGATGAATAGAGTTCAGAGGATTTTTAGACCCATTTAAACTGCTCTGTGTGATTCAATAACAGTCAGTAAATGCCTTCAGACAGCTGTGCAGAAGAGGAGAGTGAAAAAACTGACTTAAAACTCAACATTCAAAAAACAAAGATCATGGCATCTGGTCCCATCACTTCATGGCAAATAGATGGGGAAACAATGGAAACAGTGACAGACTTTATTTTCTTGAGTTCCAAAATCAATGCAGATGGTGACTGCAGCCATGAAATTAAAAGACACTTGCTCCTTGGAAGAAAAACTATGACCAACCTAGACAGCATATTAAAAAGCAGAGACATTACATTGCCAACAAAGTTCCATCTAGTCAAAGCTATGGTTTTTCCAGTAGTCATGTATGGATGTGAGAGTTGGACTTTAAAGAAGGCTGGGCATTGAAGAATTGATGCTTTTGAACTGTGGTGTGGGGAAAGACTCTTGAGAGTCCCTTGGACTGCAAGGAGATCCAACCAGTCAATCCTAAATGAAATAAGTCCTGAATATTCATTGGAAGGACTGATGCTGAAGCTGAAACTCCAATACTTTGGCCACCGGATGTGAAGAACTGACTCATTTGAAAAGATCCTGATGCTGGGAAAGATCAAGGGCAGGAGAAGAAGGGGATGACTGAGGATAAGATGGCTGAATGGCATCACCAACTCCATGGGCATGAGTTTCAGCAATCTCTGTGAGTTGGTGATGGACGAGGAAACCTGGCCTGCTGCAGTCCATGGGGTTGCAAAGAATTGGACATGACTGAGCAACTGAACTGACTATAAAATGGATAATACCAAGATTGAATCCAAGTGTAACCTATGGACTTTGGGTGATAATGATACATCAATGTAGATTCAACAAATAAAAGAAATTGGAGTATGTGGAAATTTTGCTGTCTTCCTCTCAATTTTTCTGTGAACCTGTTTTAAAGATAAAAATGTTTAAATAAATTTTTAAAAATTTGGACTATGTAACCTAAGCCATCTTACCATTTTTGAGACTTCCACACAATAAATAGGAAGTGAAGGTGATTTGTTTTATGTTTCTTTGGAATTATCTTTTAAATCCATTAAAATTTCAGATTAATATTTCTAAGTCAGTTGCTATGAACTGAATTGTGTTCCCTCTAAATCAGTATTTTGAAGCCATAACTCCCAGTGTGACTCTATTTGGAGACAGGGCTTGTGAAATACTGATAAAGGTTAAGTGAGGTCTTGATCCAACCTCTAATCCAACAGGGATGGTGCTCTTATAAGGAGAGAGACCAGAGCTCACACCCACATGCTGAGGAAAGACCATGTGAGGACACCGTGAGAAGGCAGCTATCTGCAAAGCAGAGAGAGAGCTCTCCCCAGACCTTGACCCTCTTAGCACCTTGACCTTGCATTTTCCACTCTCCAGAAATGTGAGAAAATACATTTTGATTGTTTCAGCCATCCAGTGTGTGGAGCATTGCTATGGCAGCCTGAAAGATTAACATGTAGTTCAGAAGAAAGTGTTAATTGCTCAATCATGTCCAACTCTTTGCAATCCCAAGGACTGTGGCCTACCAGGCTCCTCTGACCACGGAATTCTCCAGGAAATACTGGAGTGGGTAGCCATTCCTTTCTCCAGGGAATTTTCCTAACCAAGGGATCAAACCTGCGTCTCCTGCATTGCCGGCAGATTCTTTACCATTTGAGTCACCTTAATGGGATGACATAGACTATTTCTTGTTGTTAAATTCTCTTCCATGTATGTGAATTAGTGCAATGCAGTGTAAGATATACAGAGCTCATAAAGACTGTAAGTTCAATTATCAGCTATACCTCCTCATTAGTAATATGGGCTTAAATTTCCTAAGCTAATTTTCTTCTCTGACAGGTTAGAATAACAACAAATCTTTCTGAGGTTATTACAAAGATTAAATCCAATGAAGCTTGTTCATTCCCTGGATCATTCATTCATTCATCATCTAATAAATATCCATTACTTAGGATGAGAAAACTTATACTACTAGGATGAGAAAACATACACATGTATTATTCTTTAACTTATTAATCATCTCACTGAGCTTAAATCTTTGGTTCTTCAATGAAATAATATTTTATATTATGGCAAAAATATCCTACATAGAGAATATATAATCATAAATATAGGCAATATAATACATGTATATACATATACATTTATATCCAACCACATCTATAAAATCTTACCTCTTTGCTTTCTTCCAGATCTGATTCACTACTGAAGTCCTCCGTGTTTAAATTTTCAAAGTCAGATTCTCCTACAGCAATTGGTACAGTCACAGTAAGACTGGGATTGTTTATGAAGGACATGTAGTCACTTTCATCAATAATGTACTTTTCAACACTGCTGCCAGTTCCTATTCCACTTGTAGTTCCATTTACGTCTTTAAGATAGTCAAGATCTTTCCCAATCTCTGCTGTATGATTGGACATACAATTGTCTTTCCTGTTGTTTAGATCATCAAGTGGTTTAATTTCATCTAAAATCTTTTGTTTTCTAACAAAGGACTGTTGAATAAATTCATATATTTTTCTCTTCACATAAGCTATTCCCTTGTGCATCCTATCCACAGCAATTTGGAGATTGTTCATTTCATTATCATCATCAGTGGCCGCAAGGTTGTCTGCACTAAATGAGCTCAGAAGCAAGGCCAAAAAGAGGTTCAGGACCTTAAAAATAACACAAACATCATTATAATTTCACCCCAATGTGAAGAAGAGCAGATTGAGATCACTTATTCCTTGAAATGTTGAGGAAATTAGTGACTAGAAGTTCAGAGATCTAAATTTGTGATCTGGCTTAACAGCTATGCCACAATTCATCCATGGGCAAAGACATGATTTCCATAGGTCTCGAGTTCCTCTACTTATAAAATGAAGACTCTGAATGAGTGGACCTAAGGTTTTACTAAACTTATAATTATGTGATTATAAGAAATAAATTTATATGGGCTCTATATAAGAGTTCTAAACTTAAAATTCCTTAGTTTTTAAAACTATGCATTTAATTGCATATTATAGTTTCTTTTTTGATGAAGAGATATTAAATTGGATATTAATTGAAAGAAAATCATTATGATCCAGAATGAGAATAATGGACTTAACATAGGAATCAACATATATTTTCTTGATCTACTATTTTTCTCATACCCCACTGTTGACTAATTAGGACAACTATTTATAAACAATCACTAATGTTTCCATGAGACTGGCGTGCTACTGCTGCTGCTAAGTCGCTTCAGTCGTATCCGACTCTGTGAGACCCCCATAGATGGCAGCCCACCAGGCTCCCCCATCCCTGGGATCCTTCAGGCAAGAACACTGGAGTGGGCTGCCATTTCCTTCTCCAATGCATGAAAGTGAAAATAATGTACATATCCTTTGGAGTATATTATATATTTTATATGGTAATAGTAAGGTACCAAACCTAAAAGAGAGGACGGATTAGTTACTCCATGTGGGTTAGGAATCCTTAGCCAACCTCTGTTTTGATGTAAGAATTGACTAACCCAGATTGGTTCATGCATCTGCCTTATAATATAGAGTGACTGAATAGTATCTATAATGAACAGGCAAAGAAAAGTTGAAATAGCTAGGAACAAAGGAAAGTACCACTTTTTAGTCCTATACTAGCAAGTAAGTTTGGGTTTTCTCTAAATTTATTTTTTTTCAGACTTTTCCCTTCCTTGGATCTGAATTTTTTAAATGTTTCCAACATATCCTTCTAAATCTGTCTTTAATATTATACTCCATAGGAGTTCACATAATAAGTGTGATGAAATGACTGGCAAAACAGTTGAGAACAAACATTGTAGGGTCACTGGTTGTGTTTGTCAAAGTAAGATTATAAGTGTATCCAAGGTAAGAGACTTTTGAAATTGATAATCATAATTTTTGTTTCAGACAAAATGGGCATCATTTCACTGTGCTCTTCATCCATTTCTGAAACTCATATCTTAAATGGGTACATACCACCAGGTTGCCAATGACCATGACCATCATGAAGACAGTGAGGCACATGGCTTGACCGGCGACCTCCATGCAGTCCCACATGGTCTCTATCCACTCTCCACACAGCACCCGGAACACAATCAGGAAGGAGTGGAAGAAGTCATTCATGTGCCAGCGCGGCAGCTTACACTCACTGTTGATCTTGCAGACACAATCTTTGTAACTTTTACCAAAGAGCTGCATGCCAACCACGGCAAAAATGAAGACGATGATGGCCAACACCAAGGTCAAATTTCCCAGAGCCCCCACTGAATTGCCGATGATCTTTATTAGCATGTTTAATGTTGGCCAAGATTTTGCCAACTTGAAAACTCGGAGCTGGAAAATAAAAAAATATATATATGTTATTATGATCAATCTTTGAAAGCATTACATGTGAGGTTTACAAAGAAATGATTAAAATTGAATCTCTAACAACATTTGCTTTACAGATGTTATAATGGTAATGGATGTTAATTGAATTTATTGTAGTGATCATTTTGCACTATATACAAATATTGCATCATATGTTGTAAACCTGAAATATAGTATTATATCAATTATAACTGAATAAGAAAGATATTGAAGTATAACAAAAGACATTTTTTAAGAGAGTTAGTGGATGTCCGTGGCCACTACTGATAGCAAAAATTACAATCTTGATTGGGGAAATAGGTAAGAGCCACCTTGCATTCTTGCACTTTGCTTTCCAGACTTTTAAATCCATCTACCTTTGGACCTTAATCAGTTAGAATGACCTGTGCCATTGCACTGTCATAGCACCACTCTCCTAAGCAGAAGATGTGAAGAGCAGGCTGTCTGGATGTCTTTGTGTCAGTGCTTGGCTTTACTCCAAGACTATTTCTAATCTACCAGGAACAGAGAGTTGTGAGCAAATGTCTCACTTCACCAAACAAGAAGCAAAGGTCTTCCCAAAAGGAGCTTCTTATCTAAAAACAAACAACGACAACAAAAAAGCTCTCTTACAACATCTGTCCTATCCTTGACCATGGCCAGTCTCATGGCTAATTTTTGGACCCCTCCCTCCCACCCAGGAAGAATCTGATCCCTCCATGTTTTATATAGATAATTTTCCCTGAGAGTGAATTTTTAATTATTACTTGGGGACATACTCTCCCTAAATTGTTTTGTAAAGGTGGTTGTAAGGCATACCTGGACTGACACTAATATTAATATTTGATCTCAATGATTTCTGCTCAAAGATACTCATTTGTCAAAAGCAGGCAAAATAACAGCACACAGAGACCTGCTATAAGTGAAGTGTTTATTATTCATAATGCTCCTCTGGAGCACTGACATAGCTAGCTGCACCTGCATTTAAGAACTTGGAATATTTCCCATGACTTCATAATCCTTTCCATATTTGCAAGGACATATATGTGAATCAGTGGACTAAGTAAATAATTCTTCTGACTCCTCTTCTCTGATTTTGGGAAGGAAAATCTTTTCCAGAGATACAATTAGAAACGGTTTCTACATGCACATCCTTATCTGATTGTTATTCACCAATACAAAAGGGTGTTTATATTTTCAAAGTACTATTAAAATACATTTTCATTAAAATATTTTCTTAGATGCAAAAATATTAACTGCCGTCATCTCTAGAAACAATAATTAGTTGGAATGGCAATTGAGTAACATATTCAACTTTATATGATCAGGATTTTTGCAATAAAGCTTTTTCCTAAATATGTGGGAATATTTTTTCCACTTAGGGACTGTTTTTAACAATGCAAATGTTACACAAAAAACTTAAAATGTTAATGGTGTGTGGTAAAATCTATGATGCAAGAACCCTGATCATTGGAAAGGTTTTTGTCTTTGTACTGTTTTGTTTTTTACCAAACGGAATGAACGAAGAACTGATAATCCTTCCACGTTGGCCAGGCCAAGTTCTACCAGGCTAAGCGTTACAATAAAACCATCAAAGATATTCCAGCCTTCTTGGAAATAATAGTAAGGATCCATGGCAATAATTTTCAGAAACATTTCTGCTGTAAAGATCCCAGTGAAAACCTAAGATCAAAACAAAGTTACTCTAATTCCATCAGATAATGATAAAGTAGCATGACATAATATTTGCTCCTAGAACAAAATGTTTACACTAGTAATTATTCTATTACTTGATTACATTTGCACAGTAATTTATAGTTGTTAAAAAGCTCTCATATATGTTATTTAATTTTATCCTCAAATGAAACACTGTTAAACACATAATGTGAGTATTATAATTCTTACTTTACCAATTAGGAAACATGTCTTCAGATGGGTGTAGTGGCTTGCCCAACATCAAGTAGAAAGTTAGAAAAACTAGGATTTGAGAGCAAATCTATTTTTAATCAGTGTTCTTTCCATTACATCAACTGCATTTTCCTCCAGACTTCATACAGCACAGGTACTGACAAGATTTTTCCCCAAAACAGTTTTATCTATAAGCTTATTCCCACTTCCCTCTACTCAGACAATTATTTCACATGAGCACCTATATTATAATATGTGCATTATCATTATTTATTATGCACATGAAAAAATTACTTCAACGGTAAATACTAGAACTTTAAAAATAGGAATACTATAATTCAGGATGCTTTACATATTTTTCTTTCTTACATCAAAAACTTTAAACCTCAAAACAAATATTATGAAAAATGAATACATTATTTTAAAGACCTTTATTTCAGCAAATGAAAGCTAATATTCCTAAGTTGAGACAACAAACACTTTAACAATTTTTTTTTTTAAAGCTCAGAAGAGAAAGAATTAGGTAGAAACCTTCACCAAAAATGGCCTTGTTAAAAATAAAAATGGCCTTGTTAAAAATAAAAATGGCCTTGTTAATCATACAATGCACAAAATGTACTGGATGTTTTTTATTATTTTATGGCTTTGATCTAGACTAGATGGATTAAACAATACAGGCCCTACCTAGATCTTGGAAGTAGAAAAGCTGGAGTCATTTGTGAGTTGTTAAATAAGTTGTGGCTTATAGTGATGATGAATGACTAAGCAAGATAAAAAGATCTGTAATTTTATTTTAGCCTTCTATATGTAGGGAAACTGTGATAACATCATTTCAAAAAGTGTGTCCTTAAACTATGAACTGCTTCTGTGCCTTGTATTACTTATAAATACCAGTATTGATTTTTTTCTAGTAGTAATGTAGGCTGTTTTTATTGCGGTCTTTCTCAGTTTCAGCTTGGATCTTAAGGGCTGTTAAGGGCTATTTTTGGCAAAGAGTAGGGTATAGCCAGCTAGATATAATTCCCATCTTTTGAAAGCAAGGAAGTAGAAAGGGTGGTGGTAAGACTGCCAACTGCTATAAGACATTAAATGCAAACAGTTTCTCAAACAGAAAATTTGAAGACTGAACACATTTACCTTCCAATATGCTTACCAAGTTTCCTACTGTAAGCACATTATTGAAATGGTCTGTCATGGGATAGTGCTCCATGGCCATGAAAAGAGTATTTAAGACAATACAGATGGTGATGGCCAGGTCAACAAAAGGGTCCATCACAACCAGGTTGACAATATGCTTCACTTTTAACCAATATGGTGAACAGTCCCAGATTAAGAATATGTTGGAAAATTTATACCAACAGGGTGGGCATTTCTGCCTGGATTCTTCAAGTTCTAGATTAAAAAAAAATAAAAACAACCACCGAAAGATATTTTTAAACATATATATTCCTCTCAGATCCAATAGATTTCACTAACCAAACATTCCCATTTGCTATAGTCAACCTATTTTTGTACTTCATTATTAAAAAAAAAAAAACATGATTTAAAAAATAGAATTTACTGTTTAGATTCCGCCCAAAAATCTCTTCAGACATAAACATAGAACAGTGGTATCAAAGAATGATTTTCTTCTCTTATGCATTGATATTGTGGCTCCATATTTGGCTCTAAGTTACATGGATTGTCTTTTTAATAGAGATACTGTGTGTAATCCTATGTTAATGTCTGGCTATGCTATCATCCTGAGGCTATAAGAGAGCCAAGAATCAGCTGTTCGTTTTTATTTTGTGAGAATGACCCATTCTTCCCCTCCAATCTTGAGTGTGTTTAGGATGGTATCAGAAGTCCTAAACTAAATGGAACAGAAAATATGGTCACTATGACTAATAGGATTAGAAACCCTTTACAGAAATACTTCATTGTGCATTTTTAAGGAGTTGCCACACACAGGATTCTGTCATTTTTGAGATTGCACCCAAGTACTGCATTTCAGACTCTTCTATTGACTATAAGGGCTACTCCACTTCTTCTAAGGAATTCTTGCCCACAGTAATAGATATAATAGTCATCTGAATTAGTTTCACCCATTCTGGTCCATTTTAGTTCACTGATTCCTAAAATGTCAATATTCATTTTTGCCATCTCCTGTTTGACCACTTCCAATTTACTCTGATCCTTGGACCTAACATTGAAGGTTCCTATGAAATATTGTTCTTTACAGCATTAGACTTTCATCACCAGACACATCCACAACTGGGTGCTGTTTCTGCTTTGGTTCAATCTCTTCATTTCTTCTGGAGCTATTTATTTGCTCTTCTCCAGTAGTATATTGGATGCCTACCAACCTGGGGAGTTCATCTATCAGTGTCACCTCTTTTTGCCTTTTCATGTTATTCATGGGGTTCTCAAGTCAAGAATAATGAAGTGGTTTGCCATTCTCTTCTCCAGTGCACCACGTCTGTCCAAACTCTCCACCATGACCTGTCCATCTTGGGTGGCCCTACACAGCTTGGGTCATAGTTTCACTGAGTTAGACAAGACTGTGGTCCATGTGATCACTTTGGTTAGTTTTCTGTGATTATGGTTTTCATTCTGTCTGCCCTCTGCTGGATGAAAATAAGAGGCTTGTGGAAGCTTCCTGATGGGAGGGACTGGCTGTGGGGAAACTGGGTCTTGCTCTGTTTTGCTCTTGTTCTGTGGGCAAGGCCATGCTCAGCAAATCTTTAATCCAATTTTCTGTTGATGGGTGGGACTGTGTTCTCTCCCTGTAGTTTGGTCTGAGACAGAATGATCTCAGTAGCTTCTAAGATAAATCATTCTCTATCACAGTAATCTAGGTCTATGCCCCAACCACTGATGCCAAAGAAGCTGAAGTTGAATGGTTCTATGAAGACTTACAAGACCTCTAGAACTAACAACAAAAAAAGATGTCCTTTTCATCATAGGGAATGGGAGAGCAAAATTAGGAAGTGGCCTTGGAGTACAAAATGAAGCAGGACAAAGGCTAACAGAGGTTTTTTTTTTTTTTTTTTTTTTTCCCAAGAGAACACACTGGTCATAGCAAACACCCTCTTTCAACAACACAAGAGATGACTCCACACATGGACATCACCAGATGGTCAACACCAAAATTAGACTGATTACATTCTTTGCAGCTGAAGATAGAGAGCTCTATACTGTCAGCAAAAACAAGACCAGGGGCTGACTGTGGCTCAGATCAGGAACTTCTTATTGCCAAATCAGACTTGCATTGAAGAAAGTAGAGAAAACCACTAGACCATTCAGGTATGACCTGAATAAAATCCCTGAATAAAATACAGTGGAAGTGACAAATAGATTCAAGGGATTAGATCTGATAGACAGAGCGTCTGAAGAACTATGGACAGAGGTTCATAATGCTATATAAAAGGCATCGGCCAAAATCATCCCCATGAAAAAGAAATGCAAAAAGGCAAAATGGCAGTCTGAGGAAGCTTTACAAATAGCTGAGAAAATAAGAGAAGATAAAGGCAAAGGAGAAAAGGAAAGCTATACCTATCAAATGCAGAGTTTCAAAGAATAGCGAAAAGAGATAAGAAAGCCTTCCTCAGTGAACAATGCAAAGAAATAGAGGAAAACAAACAATGGGAAAGACTAGAGATCTCTTCAAAAAATTAGAAATACTAAGGGAACATTTCATGCAAAGATGGGCTCAATAAAGGACTGAAATAGTATGGACCTAACAGAAGCAGAAGGTATTAAGGAGAGGTGGCAAGAATACACAGAAGAACTATACAAAATAGATCTTAATGACACAGATAACCATGATGGTGTGATCATTCACCTAGTGTCAGACATCTTGGAGTGTGAAGTCAAGTGGGCCTTAGGAAGCATGACTACTAATAAAGCTAGTAGAGGTGATAGAATTCCAGCTGAATTATTTCAAATCCTAAAAGATGATGCTGTTAAAATGCTGCACTCAATATGCCAGCAAATTTGGAAAACTCAGTAGTAGCTACCGGACTGGAATAGGTCAGTTTTCATTCCAGTCCCAAAGAAAGGCAATGACAAAGACTGTTCAAACTATCACACAACTGAACTCATTTCACATGCTAGCAAAGTAATGCTGAAAATTCTCTGTCAAGAGAATTCTCTGTCAAGAGAACTGAGAACTTGAACTGAAAACTTCTAGATGTTCAAGCTGGATTTAAAAAAGGCAGAGGAATCAGAGATCAAATTGCAAACATCCATTGGATCATAGAAAAAGCAAGAGAATTCCAGAAAAACATCTACTTCCATTTCATTTACTATGCTAAAGCCTTTGATGTGTGGATCACAAGCTGTGTTAAATTCTTTAAGAGATGGGAATACCAGACCACCTGACCTGCCTCCTGAGAAATCTGTATGCAGGTCAAGAAGCAACAGTTAGAACTGGACATGGAACAGTGGACTGGTTCAAAATTGGGAAAGGAGTATGTCAAGGTTGTATACTGTCACCCTGCTTACTTAACTTATATGCAGAACACATCATGCAAAATTCTGAGCTGGATGAAGTACAAGCTGGAATCAAGATTGCTGGAAGAAATATCAATAACCTCAGATATTCAGATAATACCACCTTAACAGCAGAAAGCAAAGAGGAACTAAAGAGCCTCTTAATGAAGGTGAAAGAGGAGAGTGAAAAAGTTGGCTTAAAACTAAAAATTCAAGAAATGAAGATCATGCTATCTGGTCCCATCACTTCATGGCAAACATGGGGAAACAACAGAAACAGTGAGAGACTGTTTTCTTGGGCTCCAAAATCACTGCAGCCATGAAATTAAAATGCTTGTTCCTTGGAAGAAAAGCTATAACTAACCTAGACAGCATATTAAAAAGCAGAGGTATTACTGGGCTGACAAAGGTCCATATAGTCAAAGCTATGGTCTTTCCAGTAGTCATGTATGGATGTGATAGTTGGACCATAAAGAAGGCTGAGCATCAAAGAATTGATGCTTTTCAACTCTTCAACTGTGGTGTTGGAGAAGACTCTTGAGAGTCCCTTGGACTGCAAGGAGATCAAATCAGTCAGTTCTAAAGAAAATCAATCCTGAATATTCATTGGAGAGACTGATGCTGAACCTGAAACTCCAATACTTTGGCCACCTGATGCAAAGAACAGACTGATTGGAAAAGACCCTGATGCTGGGAAAGATAGAAGGCAGGAGGAAAAGGGGATGACAGAGCACAAGATGGTTGGATGGCATCACCAGGTCAATGGACATGAGTTTGAGCAAGTTCCGCAAAGTGGTGAAGGATAGGGAAGCCTGGTGTGGTGCAGTACATGGGGTGGCAAAGAGTCAGTCGTTACTGAGAGGCTGCACAACAAAACACACAGAATACATTCTTTACAGTTGCAAAAACCATAGAGTTTAAGTAACTTTTTAAAAAGTTTCTAGAATATAGAAATATATAACCAATAACTCTTAAATAAAACCTATGATGTTTTCTTTGGAATATACTACTTTCAACTTACTGACATGTGTTTCAAATAAGACAATATAAATTCAGTGAAAACAACTGAAATGGAAATGGAATTTGTTACAAACCTTCTACTGTATTTGTTAAAATGCTGGCTATGCTCATTGCTCTTTGCCTTTGAGATGGATCTTCTAGAAAGTCCATGGAAACATGAAAAGAACTTGACCTTCTCTTTCTCATTTCAGTTTCAGTGGTTGTTCCCTGTAAAGAAAATGATAATGTATTCAATGCTTAACTTGGGCAATATGATTAGCAAACAACCACTGTGACACAGTGAAATTCATGAAATGCATGCATCATGCACGTTCATGTCTAATTGGTGATGGCAGATATTGCTGACTTATTGTAGCATTAACCTGGACTGTCCAAACTGTTAGCCATTTATTCATACACCAAAGCTGAGGGTTTTCTTTTTACCCTCTGATTTTATAGTTTTAGGTGACATAACATAATTTTGATATCCTTGATAAATCTTGTGAGTGACATATTTAACAATTTGCTTATTTCAGAACTAACAGCAAAAAATAGTAACTTGAAAAGTCACCTAAATGATCAGAGCATTTTATTTTGAGAAGGTAGCCCTTTATTTTTAAAGGAATATGAATAATTAGAACACACGTAGCTGCCATCTCATTTTCTGGACACAGACACAGATGGTCATTGACAACACAAGCTGTATGTTAAAAAAACAACAATACATGCTGCATGGACAACAGTTTCATCCAGGGTACCAAAGCAATAAGTCATCTAGTTCTGACTTAATCATGCCTCAATCATGCTGATATATTCCCAGGTCTAATAAGAGGCAGCACGTGTTTAGAAATTCCTTATCTGGGTATATATTCACAAACACATAACATACCTTTGTACACAGAGAATTCTTTTATCTGTCTGTGTTAATAATTTTTTGTGTCTCTTCATTTAGATTAGTTTTGAGAAGACCTATATCAGCATTATCTTTTAGTAAGACAAATATGAGTACTAGAAATTTTAAGATAATAATGAAGCTATCTATTTAGGCACAGTGTTCTTGAACTCTTCTACACTAAAGCAAGCTATATCAAAGAATCTGTTGGAAAGATTTATTATACACCCTTTACACTTAAACATAGGAATCATTCATTTACTCTTATGCCAGGTCTTTAGTGGATGGCCTGCTATCTAAAGATAGTTCAGCATGGGTATATAGCAAATCCTCCAACTGGAGGCAGTCATTTATTACTGTGTATAATTTATCCTTAGCACATTTAATAAGTAAATGCATTCAGGTGTTACGCAAGAGGGTGTTGAGGCCTTAAGTTTTAGTTGGTTAGTCTTTTAAAGGTATTACAAGATGCAGGAGCATTCACAGCTTGACCAACCAGGAATCATTCTCAAGGGGTTCCATTCTGTAGAAACACTGGCTGGTACAGCAATCATGGGCCTGCCATGCCTCAACTGTTTAAAACTTCCTTACATTGTCATCAGTAGCTGGCTTATCTATTATCACCTCTGGCAGAAGCTGTCCAACAGGCGAGGTAGGAACCGAAGGTCCACCAACCAAGGAAACCACACCATTGCAATCCACAGCACTGTGCATCTTCCCGTTGGCCGGAAGCACGGCCAGCATTCGGGACGACCGACTGGTCTGACTGAAGTTACTGCTGCGTCGCTCTCCGTGCCGGCGGGGCACAAATAAGGAGTCTCTGCGGCTCTCGTTATCCTCGAAGGTGCTGTGCTCATCATCAGCAAAGTCGTTCTCGGATCCCACATCCTTCGCTCGCCCTCTGAAGCTGAAAAGGCTTGTTCTGCTATTTCGCCTTGGAGAAAATAAGGAGCCACGGATGCTCAACAAGGACTATAAGTTTGAAACCGAAAAAAAATTAAACTCATATTAGTATGGTCATTTGGAATGTACTTTTACTTCGTAAGATAAAGTTGAAGGGGATTTCAGCATTTTAACAGAATGTGACTCATTCCTTGATTAATATTCTCATTTTATGTGCATGCAGATTAAATTAAATTAGTTTATAAGAGAAGGTTTCTAGCCCTTGAGATTAATAACTGGAGAGATAGACCGCAACTTAAAAGTATTGAAAAACAAAACCCTGAACTACATTTTTCAAGTTCAAAAGCAAACATCTTCAGCACCTTACTGTGGACATTGAACACGCAATTAACTGCATGACTTTAACAAAGGCACATCGGTTTCCACTGATCTTTCCCTTCAAGAAATTCCAACACTTTGCACAAATTGTTTAAGTCCATCCTCCTAATATCACTTGAATTATTATTCCTATCACATCTAGTAGGCACACTGTTGTTGGAGCTTGAAGTTAAGACCTCTGAAATTCATAGTGATGTGCTTTTTGATAAAGCATACCACAGCGAATATTTTCAGAAGCATGCATTATGGTTTATAAAGAAGTCTGGGTTGTTAAAAAAAAAAAAAAACAACAACATAAAATAGCCAAAAAGACATTACTGATGAGTTAGCCATATTTTTTCTTGTTAAAACGGCTGTGGACCAGAAAGACGAGATGTTAGTTAGAACAAGTGCCAGCAGACAAGTTGAAGTGAGAATTCAGGTCTCCTGACTTTTGCTGCTTTGCTACCTTCATGCACCGAGCTGGAGAGCTTCCCCTTGTGACCCAGATGTTAAGAATCCTCCTGCAATGCAGGAGGCCTGGGTGGGATCCCTGGGTCAGGAAGATCCCCAGGAGAAGGGAATGTCAACCCACTCCAGTATTCTTACCTGGAGAATTCCAAGGACAGAGGGGCCTGGTGGGCCACAGTCCATGGGGTTGCAAGGAGTCAGATATGACTGAGTCACTAACACACACACCCCCCAAGATGCAGGATTATGCATACGCAAACTAAAATTCTTTCAAACTGTACAGAAAGGATAGGTTTAAATATATATATATATATATATTTTTTTTTTAAAGCAGTCAATTCAGTTGATAAAAATTCCTAAGTCGTATTCACTTCTCCTCCCAGCCGCCAGCTGCCCCTTCCCCGCTCCCCCTGCCAGCTTCACGTTCTAATTTCCATCCCGGCATCATTTAACTCAGCAGTGCCATACCTGGTGTGGGGAGGAGTACCTCTTTTCGTATGTCAACCGATTCCCTTCTATGGAGAAGCGAAACCCTTTCCTCCTGATGCTGTCCTCAGATTCAGACTTATGGAATTCATCATCATCTTTCTCTTCTCCGCCAGATTGCTCTTTCTGTTTTCTTTTCTTTCTCCGATTCCTCCTTTCCTTTGCACTCTTGGAACTCAACTTGGAGGTTTCAGACGAGCTGTCTGAGAGCCTGCCTGCTGCACTAGGTTCTCTGGAATGCTCTGAGGCACTTACAGCTGCTGCCTGCTACATTGAGGAGACGTGGTTTCAGCATGGAAGTGCAGAAGAACTTACTTTTAAAAATATAGCTAACGTGTTTGCAAAGTATTTGAAAAAAAAATTCAGCTGACTCCAGTTAATCTTACATTAAAGAAACTGCAAATATGAGGGAATTTTTTCTCCTGTCCATCTAATAAAGCCTTTTAGAAATAAATTGATTTTCTCTGTGCTAACATTTATCACATTTCTATGATGTTTTGCAGACCACATATTCAAAAGGATCAATCAGACACCAACAAGAACATAAATTCATATTCTTTTTGGATTTGATTTACTCTAAAAATTGGTAATTAGCACTGTCTTTTTTTCACTGGGGGGAAAAAAAATTAGAGCATGGAAGAAAAGCTGATGAGTTACTTGGGGTCATATCCAAAGATAGGAGGAATGAGATAAAGAACTGAGGGCCTCTTTCTAGCTATTGAAACAGGATTGTCCAGGACCCTCAAAATATTATCAATCAAATTTATAGAAGGTGATATCCCTTCTCACCTCTACAATACTCAATCCAAAAGGCTAGAGACTGGAGGGTCAATAGTTTCTGCTAAGCAAGACAAGACATTCAGTTCTCCAAAGATCATCCCGTTTCTTCAAGTCAGCACTGGTTGTTGCTGGCTACATGGTCATGGGATGAAAACAATGCTCTTTATCACAGCTTGTTGGATTGTGACTCTTTGATGATTTTCATTGTTCCAAGAGTGCCCTCAATATAGGCTTGCAAATAAATTAATATTCCCCAATCCACTTCCTTTTATAGTAAGGACAATGAATTTTGATGCTAAACAGGAGTGAAGAAAGATGGAAGTGATAGGAAGGGCATTTTATCATACTATAAGATCAAGTAAAAAAAAAAATCAAGTAATTCTTAGGTTCCCTGATCTCCATAAAATTGGTGACTTCTATATGCCTACTGCTGTATCAGAGAGCATTACATTATTTGATCACTTTTTTATTTAGAAAGACAAGCAACCACATAAAAGACAACATATTTTGGGGCAAAGACAATCTTCTAAGAACCACATGAACATCTTTTTACACAATAACCAATACATTTTTTTTCTAAGAAAAGATGATTTCCTAGGGTTTCTTTCTAATGCCAGTATATTCATTCAGTAAAAGTTTCTCACCTGAGAAGACCTCAAAATCACATTTTCCCTTGAATCCTAAAACTTCTACGATGATTAAAATAGCATGAAAGATTCCTATTGTGGTCAATATTATAAACATATATCTTAGAATAGTTAAACTAAATGATTTACAGATGATCAAAATAATGTAGAAATATTGACTAACCCCCTACACTACCAGTTTCTCCTAAGTACAAACAATCATCTGTTTCTCACTTTCTCTCCAGTGTTGTTGTAACAACCAAAACAATAAAAAAAGGTTCATACCATGAGACAGGACATACTTGATTTGGTGAATTTACCTGAGCTGCTTCCTGTTGCTTTTTAAGTTGTTCGAGCATCTGCTGAAATTCAGCCTCTTTCTGCTCTGCCTCTTCTAAGGTGGCCTGATTCTGTTCTTCATAGGCCATGGCCACCACAGCCAGTATCAAATTTATTAGATAGAAGGAACCCAAGAAAATGACCAGCACAAAAAATATCATGTATGTTTTTCCAGCAGCACGTAATGTCTGAAAACAAGAATACCAGAGTTATTTTTTTTTACAAAATTATTTTGCTAACTGGTGGCTTCAATTGTCAACTTACTTTGTGTCTTGTAGGACTCCGATATAAATAATTATGATGGTCACATCCCCTCCTACCTTGTTGACTATCTGTTTCTTTAACCTCATCCTCTTCCTTCTCCCCTAAGTCATACATTTAGCATTCTAATCTGTAGGAGGTAATTCCTGGATTTACCAGGAATAAAGCAGAGTCAAATAAAATACCATGGGGATCTCCATTAAAGAGCTGAGACTTTGAGTAAAGTCAGGAAGAGACCAAACTTATCCTTCTACATCTGTTTGTCCATTTTCATCACCTGCCACCTGAAGGATAATACCTGAGGGGGTAAACAGAATTGAGGGGAAGCTTTGCTTTTCTATTTAGGAGCATCTGTATATGGGAAGGGTGGGAAATATGTTTTGAGGTCAAGGGGAAATGAGACAGAATTGTGTTCATAACACCCTGCTATGCTTAATATGTTATAATTAATGTTATAATCAATAAGATAAAGAAAGTGAAGTCTTCTGATTTCAAGTTCTGCTCTTTCCATTATACTATGGTGTGGTTTGGATGTCATAACTAAGTTGGTTTTCTTATATACTTCCAGTTGATCACAATATGTGTCGCCTCAGGTTCTCACCAGCTGGTAAAGATTTTCCCAGAAGTCCTGAGTCATCAGTCGAAACAGCGACAAAAAAGCCCAACTGAAGGTATCAAAGCTTGTGTAGCCATAATTGGGATTTCTACCAGCTTTCACACACATGTATCCTTCTGGACACTGGCTGTAAATGTGGCAAAAGAAAGTATTATAAGAAGTTCTGCTGTGTTTTTATTCTGGTAGCATGCTATACTTTTAATATTTGAGCTAGAAAGATTTGCTATTTCAAGGGATGAAAGTATGATAAATAAGTAACACATTTCCCAACTTTTGACTTAATATAATTTTACTAATCACCTGATGTCGTCATTAAAATATTGTATAACATGCCTAGTAATATTTTACAAAACTATTTTCTGTTGGTAATTAGTGTGTTAACATGTGTCTAGTTCATTTTCTTAGCATGGATGCTCCAGAGTTGACTCGTAGCTCACGAATACTCATCTAAAGGAAATAGCATTAAAGCTGAAGTACTCCTTGTTTTACAAAACATGAAAGCTTGCCTAACATTTAAATAATCCCTCAACTTATAAATAAAAAAAATCTTAATTATCACAAATTACTATAAATAAAGTTAGCTGGCTGTTATCTGTCAGTTTGTACAAAAAAAGAGAAAATATGTATATACACATACAAATTATTGGCTTACCCTGCATCTGAGCTATTTCCACATAGTAGTGCATCTGAAAAACCCTCCAGAAAATAATGATATCCTGTTTAGGAAAAAAAATAAGTCACATGATGAACATTTGCATGACACTGCAAAATAAGATTAAGATCCGATTCTACTTTTAAAATTTGTAATTTTAAATACATTATATAATTTACTCAAAGGCAGAACTATTACTCCCTCTAAATATTAGCTATTATATCAAAGGGATTGGATACTTACATAAGAGTAGAAAACATTTGCTGTTTGTGAATGTAAAACAAGTGATAATCACAGAGACTAACATAACATTTTTAAAAGTATCAGTGTTTTTCTACCCTCCTCATGAAAAACAAAAATTTCATTCTCTAAAAATAGATAAGAATGATAGGGATTTCTTTGCTTTCTCAAGACTGCTACATATTTCAAAAGAAAGGGATTTTAGCTTTTCTGAACAGTATTCTATATTTTTTAACACTTTATAAATGACTAATAAATTATAATTTATATTCTACCAGTTTATAAAATATGTCATTGGCAACTTATAATAAAAGATGCATAAATCATGTCAATTACTAAAATGAGTAAAATTTAAAAATAAGCTTAAATACTAAAGCTAAAATAATTACTATAGGTGAATATTTTATTAACTCTAAGTTTTCTGTCTCTGGGCAAATTCCTTGGATTCTTTTAATATCCTGTTGAAATGTCAACTCTTCAGTGAACTATTCCTTGATATCTTCTTTCTTCCAATGAAGATAGGGAAAATTAAGAACTCTCACTACGCTACCAGGAACATGTATACGCATTATTATTATATTCACTGTCTTATGTTGTAATTATTTGTTTACAAATACTACTCCTCCTTGAAAAATGAGTCATTGGTTATTTCCATATTATTTGGGAACACATAATATTTGGGACCTAGCAGCCTTTCCATAGGGCTTCCCTTGTGCCTCAGCTGGTAAAGAATCCACCTGCAGTGCGGGAGACCTGGGTTCAATCCCTGGATTGGGAAGATCCCCTGGAGAAGGGAAAGGCTACCCACTCCAGTAATCTGGTCTGGAGAATTCCATGGACTGTATAGTCCTTGGGGTTGCAGAGTTGAACACAACTGAGCAACTTTCACTTCATTTCAGCCTTTCAATGAAGTTTACTGAATGAATAAGTAAAGGGGTGACAAGAAGTGAAGCACATGAAATTAAAGAGTCATTTTGTAAAAAGAACAATTTAGGATTTTATAAGAAAAATATTTTTTAGATGCCAAATTTTCTGAGAAATTTATTCTATGCAGTTTTATAAGAGATACAAAGATACATAATAAAAATATTTTAATTCCCCAGGTCATCTCTGAACATAAAAAAACAAAGGTATAATTTCTTAACTTGTAGTTAAAATTAAACAATGTGAAAGAAATATGACATTTTCTGGACAAATTTTTGATACTAGGTATTTATAAGGAAAGCTTTGTCCATTAAACTCAGTGATCTAGAAGTTTAATCTGAAGAAAATATAACTTAATCATAATGTTTATCTTTGATTTTAATAAATTAGATTTTCAATCACTTTCAAAAACAAACCATTTTATCTATATGTGCATTTAGTTTAAAATACTCTTTTTTCAACAGAAGGAATATTATTAGAGAAAATGATAAGACAGATTTTTAGGGCTCAAAATAGCCTCAGATATTCTTAACTTCCTTTATTTTCAATGTAAGAAGAATGGAGTTCAATAAATTACTTAAAGTGAATAAATCATAAGTGACATCCTCATAACTGGTTTCTTGATTAAAAAGAAAAACAGATTTCAGGGAGTTGGTGACATCAGTGAACTGATAAGCATCATATGAAATGAATAAGAGACGTTTCATGTGTTCTTCTTACATGTATTTTTCTCATCATTTGTCTTAATGTAGCAATTTATAATTATTTGCAAATTTGTTGCTGTCATGTCAATAATATCATGGAAGAGATCATCTGTATCAACCAAGGTATATTCCCGATCTACAACTATAAGAATGCCATTAGTTTTTTTTATTATGCTATCTTTACTTTCAGTTCAGTTCAGTCGCTCAGCCGTTTCCAACTCTTTGTGATCCCATGCTGCAGCACGCCAGGCCTCAATGTCCATCGCCAACTCCCAGAATTTACTCAAACTCATGTCCATTGAGCCCGTGATACCATCCAATGATCTCATCCTCTGTCGTCCCCTTCTCCTTCTGCCTTCAATCTTTCCCAGCATCAGGGTCTTTTCCAATGAGTCAGTTCTTTGCATCAGGAGGCCCAAGTATTGGAGTTTCAGCTTCAGCATCAGTCCTTCAATGAATATTCAGGACTGATTTCCTTTAGGATGGACTGGTTGGATCTCCTTGCAGTCCAAGGGACTCTCAAGAGTTTTCTCCAACACCACAGTTCAAAAGTATCAATTTTTAGGTGCTCAACTTTCTTTATAGTTCATTTCTCACATCCATACATGACCACTGGAAAAACCAGTAGCTTTGACTAGAAAAAAAATCTAGCTTTGACTAGACAGACCTTTGTTGGCAAAAGGAGTGTCTCTGCTTTTTAATATGCTGCCTAGGTTGGTCATAGCTTTTTTTCCAAGGAGCAAGTGTCTTTTACTTTCATGGCTGCAGTCACCATCTGCAGTGATTTTGGAACCCCCCAAAAATAAAGTCTGCCACTGTTTCCACTGTTTCCCCACCCACTTGCATTTAAGTGATGGGACCAGATGCCATGATCTTAGTTTTCTGAATGTTGAGTTTTAAGCCAACTTTTTCACTATCCTCTTTCACTTTCATCAAGCAGCTCTTTAGTTCTTTGCTTTCTGCCATAAGGGTGATGTCATATGTGTATCTGAGGTTATTGATATTCCAATGTTGATTCCAGCTTGTGCTTCATCCAGTCCAGCATTTCTCATAATATACTCTGCATATAAGTTAAATAAACAGGGTGATAATATACAGCCTTGACGTACTCCTTTCCCAATTTGGAACCAGTCTGTTGTTCCATTTCCAGTTCTAACTGTTGCTTCCTGACCTGCATACAGATTTCTCAGGTGGCAGGTCAGGTGGTTGGGTATTCACATCTTTTTAGGAATTTTCCAGTTTGTTGTGACCCATACTGTCAGAGGCTTTGGCATAGTCAATAAAGCAGAAATAGATGTTTTTCTGAAACTCTTGTGCTTTTTCAATGATCCAGCAGATGTTGGCAATTTGACCTCAGGTTCCTCTGCCTTTTCTAAATCCAGCTTGAACATCTGGAAGTTCATGGTTCACGTACTGTTGAAGCCTGGCTTGGAGAATTTTCAGCATTAATTTGCTAGCGTGTGAGATGAGTGCAATTGTGTGGTAGTTTGAACATTCTTTGGCATTGCTTTTCTTTGGAATTGGAATGAAAACTGACCTATTCCAGTCTTGTGGCCACTGCTCAGTTTTCCAAATTTGCTAGCATATTGAGTGCAGCATTTTAACATCATTATCTTTGAGGATTTGAAATAGCTCTACTGGAATTCCATCACCTCCTCTAGCTTTGTTCTTAGTGATACTTCCTAAGGTCCACTTGGCTTAGGACTCCAGGATGTCTGGATCTAGGTGAGTGATCATACCATTGTGATTATCTGGGTCATTAAGATCTTTTTTGTATAGTTCTTCAGTGTATTCTTGCCACCTCTTCTTAATACCTTCTGCTTTTGTTAGGTCCATACCATTTCTGTCTTTTATTGAGCCCATCTTTGCATGAAATGCTCCCTTGGTATCTCTAATTTTCTTGACGAGATCTCTAGTCTTTCCCATTCTACTGTTTTCCTCTATTTCTTTGCACTGTTCACTAGGAAGGCTTTCTTATCTCTCCTTGCTGTTCTTTGGAACTCTGCATTCAAACGGGAATATCTTTCCTTTTCTCCTTTGCCTTTTGCTTCTCTTCTTTTCATAGCTATTTTTAAGGCCTCCTCAGACAATCATTTTGCCTTTTTGCATTTCTTTTTCTTGGGGATGGTCTTGATCACTGTCTCCTGTACAATGTCATGAACCTCCATCCTATCAGACACTCTATCAGATCTAATCCCTTGAATCTATTTGTCACTTCCACTGTATAATCATAAGGGATTTGATTTAGGTCACACCTGAATGGTCTAGTGGTTTTCCCTACTTTTTTCAATTTAAGTCTGAATTTGGCAATAAGGAGTTCATGATCTGAGACACAGTCAGCTCCTGGTCTTATTTTTGCTGATTGTATAGAGCTTCTCCATCTTTGGCTGCAAAGAATATAATCAATCTGATTTCGGTGTTGACCATCTGGTGATGTCCATGTGTAGAGTCTTCTCTTGTGTTGTTGGAAGACGATGTTTGCTATGACCAGTGCGTTCTCTTGGCAGAACTCTATTAGCCTTTGCCCTGCTTCATTCTGTAGTGCAAGGCCAAATGTGCCTGTTACTCCAGGTGTTTCTTGACTTCCTACTTTTGCATTCTAGTCCCCTGTAATGAAAATGACATCTTCTTTTTGTTGTTAGTTCTAAAAGGTCTTGTAGGTCTTCATAGAACCATCAACTTCAGCTTCTTCAGCATTACACTCAGGGCATAGACTTGATTACTGTGATATTGAATGGTTTGCCTTGGAAACGAACAGAGATCATTCTGTCATTTTTGAGACTGCATCCAAGTACTGCATTTTGGACTCTTTTGTTGACCATGATGGCTCCTTCATTTTTTCTAAGGGATTCTTGCCCACAGTAGTAGATATAATTAAGATATCATTACTTTAAGAATTATCAAATCACCAGTAAGTTAACCTTTAAGACTAATTCTACATGTTTCACATAATCATTACTAAGGCTTTCTCTCTTCTTTGATTTTTTTTTCCCTAAGGATTACTCATCTCCTTAAAATAATAAAGATACAGCTATATTTAAGCACCTGTAGAGTCTAAGTTTTATATATTTAATATTTTCCTTTAAAAGGATGTTCTCTTTCCCCATGAATCACGGTCTTTTTTTCTGCTTTTGAAATGTTGCTACTGGCAGATACTAAAATTATACAATAGAACAATTTTGCTTATTTTTATTGTCACTTTCAAAAGAGAAAGGATACTAGGCCATTTATTGTTTCATCCTTCTATACTAGAATATTTAAACATTCAAGTATTTTGTCTAAACTCCTGAAATAAAGATAAACTGATTCCCATATCTTCACAGATTTTTGACATCTTAAACTTCTCTCTCCTAAAGCTTTACTGATTCTCATTTCCTTCTTTTTGATGGAATATAACTTATAATTCTTATTCTACAATTGTAAGAACAGTATTTATCTTTAGGTCTTCACTTGATTTCTATAAAATAACAATAAAAGTTACCTATTGAACTATAAGTACCCTGGAATCATGTGCCATCACCATTATTTTCCTGAAATCCTGTGCAGTTTCTGGTACATAAAATGCAATCTGAAATTGGCATTTAGTAAATTATATTTGCATAATACTTGGGAGTTAACAAAGGGCCTTCAAATATTTTATTTGATTGCCTCAAATGAGACAATGTATAGCTTCATACCTTGATGAAAAGAATGTACAGAAACCCAATATCCTATGAAAATTTCTTTCTTGCTGAATTCTTCCGTCTCTCATCAGATGATGTGACAGAAAGTGGCATTTAAGAGTCATAATTAGAATATTTATCACTAAAATAATTAAATTTATGTGCAAACCATTATAAGGTGATAAAGATATTACAGCCTGTTATACAATCATTTAAAAATTTTCCATGCCTATATGGAAAGAAGATCAACAATGAAAAAAATAAACCTACATAATAGTAATTCTTACTTGAATCTTGAATGTACGACTTCCAGTCAAACTCATTTTGAGTTTCGTTTATAAGTGTACCATTGTAATTCCTAGTTATGTTCTTCTCCACAGTGTGTTCCTCCAGGGAAGCATTGGTGGGAGGCCATTGTACACATTTATTCCGCAGGTTGCCCATAAAGAGCTGCAGCCCAATCAGGGCAAACACACTCAGACAGAACACAGTCAGGATCATGACATCTGAAAGCTTTTTCACAGACTGGATCAGTGCCCCCACAATGGTTTTCAGACCTGAAAGAAGGAAGGTTATTACTGTGAAGACTTAGAATGTCTGAAGTAAGAAAAGCTTCACACAATTTTCTTGAAAACATAGATTCCATGAATAAGTTTGAAAATGACTGCAATCAATGGTAAAGAGAAAGCAACACGTCATGGAAGGTTGAAGTGCTAATGAAAATAAACTCTGGAAATGTAATGATCTGAACAATGAAGTGAAAATCCATATCCCATTACATTTCGATAAAATAGCTGGAAGTTCATGGTCTTCACAAAGCCTATATGAAGAAAAACATCTTGTATTTCTCTGGTTTGCTAATGAAACTTGCCCCATACTTTCATTAGGGTCAGTTGTCAGTTTTATGACAAGTTACCAGAATAAAAATATTTTCCAAATTCCTATTCATAAGTAATAAAGATATTGCTATAAAACTGGAGGTGGTTTGGAGTATAATTGCACTTTAAGATAATAAAGCCTTGGGGAGTTTTCTGGCAGTTTAGTGGTTAGGATTTGCTACTTTTCCTACCATGGTCCAAGTTCAAAGCCTCTTCGGGGAACTAAGATACCCCAAGCCACACAGCATGGCTCAAAAAGATAATAAATCCTCTGGCAGACCCATGCTACTCTCTACTATCTTATTTCCTTGTCTTTTTAAACAATATTAAGATTCATATTGGGCTTCCCTGATAGCTCAGATGGTAAAGCGTCTGCCTACAATGCGGGAGACTCAAGTTCGACCCCTGGGTTGGGAAGATCCCCTGGAGAAGGAAATGGCAACCCACTCCAGTATTCATGCCCAGAAAATCCTATGGACTGAGGAGCCTGGGGGGTTACAGACCATGGGGTCGCAAAGAGTCGGACACGACTGAGCAACTTTAGCTCAGCTCAGCTCAGCTCAAGATTCACATTGTACAGACATTGTCATCAATGCCTAAAATGAACAACAAATTACAGACTGGTACATTGATAGGGAACAAATCTTTAGTACAACTGACATGGAGGAAAAAACCCAGGACTTACTTAAGTGCAAATCACATAGACCGTATAGTACAGTGTCTCATGCAAGAAAGTGTTGAATTCCAAGACTTATGAAAAATATGAAACCATAAATATTTATGTTCAAATGATAATTATACTCTGAGTAACACTCATTTTTTTTATTATTATGATTTAAATGATTATGATCCCCAATTTTCTATAATGCTGAGTGTTAAGAAAAGAGACGGTTGTTGAAAAATCATGACAGCTGAGCCTCAGTGTTTAACCCTCACCTGGAATGACTGAAATTGTTTTCAGCGCTCGGAGAACTCTGAATGTTCTCAATGCGGAGACATTGCCCAGGTCCACAAACTCTGTCACATATCTGTAATAGGGAGTTCACACACAAACACAATAACAGGATACAAAGAAAGAGCCATAGGTACAAGGAGCCTTATGCTTTACACTGATCACTTCTTACCTGGAATTACAGAATAGTTTTCAAAGCTCTCAAGACTCTGAAAGTGTGAACAGCTGAAAAATTGCCTAGGCTTACAAATTCTGTTACATACCTGCAGAATTAAATTAGAGTTATTCAAGAATTAAGCAGCATGTATATTATTTGCTTGGGTCTTTTATAAAGCCCTTCTTCGTGATTTTGAATGATAATTTTGTCAGTAACCATTTAGAAGTTAGGGTCCATCACTATGGTTTTCTTTACTTACATCATTTAAGGCCATGAGGTGGATGTAAATTTCTTAAGTACACAATCCTTTTGTCATTGCAAAAAGCAGTACAATCGATATCATGGGTAATTTAGGAGAATTAAGTAAAAAGACAATAATTCTTGGCTATAGTTTTAGGCAGAAAGAGAAGAAGAACTAAAGAGTCTCTTGATGAAAGTGAAAGAGGAGAGTGAAAAAGTTGGCTTAAAACTCAACATTCAAAAAACAAAGATCATGGCATCCGGTCCCATCACTTCATGGCAGGTAGATGGGGAAACTATGGAAACAGTGAGAGATTTTATTTTGGAGGGCTCCAAAATCACTGCAAATGGTGATTGCAGCCATAAAGTTAAAAGATGCTTCTGCCTTGGAAGAAAAGCTATGACCAACCTAGACAGCATATTAAAAAGCAGAGACATTACTTTGCCAACAAAGTTCCGTCTAGTCAAAGCTATGGTTTTTCTAGTAGTCATGTATGGATGTGAGAGTTGGACCATAAAGAAAGCTGAGTGTCAAATAATTTATGCTTTTGAACTGTGGTGTTGAAGAAGAGTCTTGAGAGTCCCTTGCACTGCAAGGAGGTCAAACCAGTCAATCGTAAAGGAAATCAGTCCCGAATATTTATTGGAAGGACTGATGCTGGAACTGAAAACTCCAATACTTTGGCCACTTGATACAAAGAACTGACTCACTGGAAAAGACCCTGATGCTGGGAAAGATTGAAGGCAGGAGGAAAAGGGGATTACAAAGGATGAAATGGCTGGATGGCATCACCGACTCAATAGGCATTGAGTCTGAGCAAGTTCCAGGAGTTGGTGATGGACAGGGAGGCCTGGTGTGCTGCAGTCCATGGGGTCACAAAGGGTCAGACATGACTAAGTGAATGAACTAATAGTTTTAGGCCTTCAGTTTTTAAAAAATACTTGAAATCATCCAAGAGACATTCAGGCAAACTGACATTGACTATCTGCATGTGATCAGGATTTTTTGGTGTAACTATTAAGTGAAAACTAAGCAAATTAAGAACAATATTTTATGGGGGCCCAATGATCACTCTTGCCATTCCTGTTGTTTTAGCCTCAAAAAACAATAGCCCCTCAAAAATGCTTTATTTTGAGCCATAGCCAGAGGGGATGGTAAAGAATCAGCTCATCTTGACTAGATATGGAGTTTAGATGAGACAGGCAGCATTTGGAGCCTTGAGAATATCAACTCCATCTCTCCTCTGACTATCTTCCCACATCCTCATGCCTGTAAGAGGCCAAGTAAACCAGCTGCTGAAGAATGAGGGTGAACCACATTGGTCCATCTTCCTCCAGATTCTAATTTCACCTAGTGCAGAGTGGCCTTCTGTTACTTTCCTGGGTTTCTTCTTTCTCAGGGAAGTTTATCACTAGCCAAAAAAAAAGCAGACTACAGAAGTTGTGTTGTGTGCATTACTGAATTTATCTGGTTGGGAAATAAGGATAAGAAGCTTTATATAAAGAAAATGATGAGGAAAATTAGAAGGGGAAAGGAGAGGAAGAAAGGAAAGGATCAAGTGAGAAATAGGAAGAGGCAGAGAGTATGCTTGTTTGTAAACCTTAATTGTGCATTTGTTGATGACATAACCATTTAATAGCAAATATATTTTAAGAACCTTGTGTTTTTCTGTTAGTTAGTTATGTCAAAATGTTTTGATGTTTATTTTCTATTATTTTACCTAAGAAACTGGGGAGAGTACATGATGTGGATAAGGTGAATGGAAATTTGCAGGGCCAGCGGAGGTTTTTTTGGTTGTAATTTTTAAAAACCATTTTCACAGATTGTATTATAAATACATTTTTGCTTCCATATTAGAGAGAGTGTGTGTGTGTTTGTGTGTGTGTGTGTGTGTGAATGTGTGTGTACTGTTGAAACAGCAGCATGTATGAACTTTGCTGACAGATGTTTGTTACATGTGAACATTATAATTTCTATTACTGCAAAGCCTTTCTGCCAAAGTGAAATGCCTCTTTGACCTCTGTTGCACTAAATTAAAATCCAGAGCTTAAATGTATAAATCACACAGAAATATTCTACAGTTAAAGCAGGCATCTTATTCTTTAAAAGCATGAACACTTGTAGAAGCCAAAATATATCCCTTTTTGAAGCTTCCCAAAAAAACACTTACGCAAATGTAATGACAGTGAAGTCTAGCCAGTTCCATGGGTCTCGAAGGAAAGTAAAATCTTCTAAACAGAAACCCCTTGCAATAATTTTTATAAGTGATTCAAAAGTATATATTCCTGTGAAGGTGTACCTGGAGACAAGTATCCAAAAAGAACGAATAAACTAATCACTTTCTTTCATGGCATATCAATTTCTTAACACTCTCTCATTATGTTAATAACAAACATTTAAAAAGGAATCCATGCAGGTTAAAATTATTTTCATGGAAATAAAACATAGTCTGAAATTTAAATTCAACTCCTTAACACACACACAGTTGTTTTTAAGTTGCTCTAAGAGCAGAGTGAGAAATACATACTGTATAAAGTGTATCTGAAATGTCTTAGTATTGACACAAATGAATAGAGCCTCCTGAGAATTATCCAGTACATTCACATGATGGAGTAGCTGATCAATAATATTGTGGAAGCATAAAATTATTTTCCTTTATAAAGTAAAAATGCTTAATTTCAATCATGTTTTATGAATGAGGGAACATTGACAAATTAGTAAGTCTCAAGTTTTTCTCTTTTTTCAAGGTAAGCTAAGTTAACTTACTTGGGAAAAGAATTTTGTTCATGCCAAATGGATAATTCTAGGGTCATCAGAGGTGAAAATCTAATTTAGAATAAAATATTGAGACAGATTGGAAACTTAGATGTTTCCAAAATTTAAATCACTTACTCAGTTTAAATGAGAAGAAATTTATAGCTTTCCAACTAGAAACTTAGATGTTTTAATCTTCAACTCAGAAGTTGGAGAATGGAATCACAGAAACAAGGGCAACTTGAGACCTGTGGGCCTCACACATTAGTGTTAATACTTTAGCAACCCTTTGTATGTAATTTTTTAAAAAATTTCCTTCAGAATCTCTGGGCTTCCCTTGTGGCTCAGCTGGTAAAGAATCCGCCTGCAATGCAGAAGACCTGGATTTGACCCCTGGGTTGGGAAGATCCCCTGGAGAAGGGAAAGGCTACCCACTCCAGTATTCTGGCCTGGAGAATTCAATGGCCTGTATAGTCCATGGGGTTGAGAAGAGTCAGACACGATTGAGTGACTTTCACTTCTTCAGAAATGTTCTTTTTATTGGCTCCAACCTGGAAGTGTCCAGGAAAGGAAAAGGCCCTTGAGAATACCCCCACGGTTGTTGTTTAAGGGTCAGAAGCCACAGAGCAATAGTGGTTAGCACGCCAGCCACGAGAACAGCCCCAGCAGCACTTACCACACATCTGGCCTCACTGTCCTCAAAGAATCCCAGAACAGAGTCCGTTAGAACAGTTGGCAATGCACTTGGTTTCTGAAAAAGCTCCCCTTTCATTTCAGTGTGTGTGTGGCGGGTGTTAGTTGCTCAGTTGTGTCCGACTCTTTGTGACCCCATAGACTATAGCCTGCCAGGTTCCTCCATCCATGGAATTCTCCAGGCGAGAATACAGGACTGTGTTGCCTTTTCCTTCTCCAGGGGAATCTTTCCAACCCAGGGATTAAAACCTGGTCTCCTGCATTGCAGGCGGATTCTTTACTGTCTGAGCGACAAGGGAAGCTCAGTTAGCAGAGCCCTCAGTTTATTAAATATTCAAGTTTGCAAACCCCAAATTTGGGGATTTTTTTCCCAGCAGATATTTTGGTGGCCATATTGAAACCAATACAGGCCTGGCACAGAGTGGATGTGCCTGATGGAAGTGTAAACTTGGTGAGGTTTGATAGTATTTTTTTAGGGCATGTGGAAGACTCACTGAATTAATCTGGATGTTAACTGGAACCAAGGTCTACCACACTGGTTCCTTTCTGTGATAACTTTCACCATATTTGCTCTGGCCACTGTATATTCTAAAGGGAGAGTGATGAATGTGCAAGAATGATGGGCTTCTGGTCACCACCAAGTACACGTGGAGAGATATTAAATCCTAAATACATATATATAGACATAGGTATACATCACTATGTTTATCCAACAATACACACACACACACACACACATACATACTCACATAGGTGGCTTATAAGTTGAACTTACTCTACATTCTTTGTCCAGTCGGGAGGGTTACTCATTGTCATAAACACACAGTTTGTCAAAATAGTGCACATAATTAGCATGCTGAATAATGTAGGTGATTGTTAAGGAACACACAGAAGAAAACCCAAACCCATGTATTATATTATATAAAACTAACACTGAAAAGCTCAACCTGCAGTTTGGCCAGGAATCAGTGACAAATATACTGTGGGCAAATCATCTAATCTCTTTAAATTTCATTTTTCTCATCCTTAAATTTAGATAATAACACTACTCTCACAGGGTAGTCGTACAGATTGAATGAGATAATGTACAAGAAAGCTTTATAAAAGTATAAAGGGTGGCTTTTGCTACTATTATTAAATCAATCTATTTATTCCCAGAAGACCTTATTGGGAAAATTGTGGGCATTCTGGAGTTGCATAGCTTTTGAGCGAAGACCACTGATTTGAACTAATTTAGTTGATTAAAATAGTGAATCGCTGAGGAAGGCACATCCTTGCAGAATTGTAATTTGTTAAGTACAAGTGATACAATATATGTGAGTATATTATAGTGTTAAATGTCAGGTCACTCTATTTCAAATGTTTGTAAACATATAGCAGCATTGGATAAGATTGAAAGTGAATATTTCAAAGTCATGACTTAGCATGATATGAATATAAGTGAAACTCAACATAAAGGTGATCTTAGCAACATAAAAATGACTCGGACAAGTCACTCAACCTCTCTGTTCCACTGAACTTTCTAGTGTCTCCACTGAATTTTATGCAATGGAGCTAATCAGATGTGGAGCTCATCAGTTTGAGGTACAGATTAAGTGGGACAATATGTGTGAATTATTGGAATAAGTCTGGTTAGTAGATATGATCTAAATGTTAGCTGAAACAAATGACTAGACCTAATAGAATTATGGAGCTGAAAGGGGCCTTGAAAAATAACTGTTTAATTCATATATTTTAGAAATCAGAGAAATAAAGCTAAAACCCTAGAGAAATTAGATAACTTGGCCAAGGAGTAAAACACAGATTTCTTGCATTCATATCTAACATTCAACAACAGTCTACAGCCAAAGCAAAAATTTTCCATAAGTGAAAAAGAAAGTTTTCATCAAATGACCACACGATGGCACTAGAAACACAAACTAGGATAAAGAAACCTCCAAAATGTAAAAAAGTTCAGAACGTGTAAAAGTTATGTTTCAAATCTTTGAAATTCACTAATACCATACTTATACCATAAGGAATCTCTTGTTATCAGTTCAAAAACAGAATCAATTTTTAAGTTTTTGAATCTTTTTTTTCCTAAAAATAAAGTAGTATAAGTAGATGATAATTACACCAGTAGTTCTATATTTATTATTGCCAAAGCTGTCAAATGAGACATAATCAGAAGTGACAACTTTTTGCCAATGAATATGAACAGATAAATTTAGTTGCAGAGTCCTTTTTTTTTTTTTTTAACACCAGTGAGAATCACAAAGCTAAATCCCTGAAGACCTTTTGGAAATACAATCCCTGCATCTTTCATTAACTTCCAGAGTCTTTACTAAGCAATCAGTTTTGCATGGCAGAGTCATAATTCAAGGACTTCCATTTGAAATTCAGCAAGCGATCCAGTACTTCCTTCACAGATTTCATTAGGAAAGTTCAAAAACTAGCTACATATTGGCTAAAGCCCCCGGATCTTCTCCAATGGAAACTATGCTTGAAGGTTAAATCTAAAGTACACTAAAATGCTTTATATTATAGATATGGTTATACTTGGCCCTGGATATAGGTTTTGTTTTTTTCTATTAAATCAGGATTCCATGCAAATTCCAGAAAGTCACAAACCTTATACAATATTGTAAAAATAAGTCTGTTTTACACTAGATTTGTAGGATGAGGCATGTGAGAAATTTAGAAAGAGATATGTCAGACTTTCATATATAATAGACTGAAATATATATATAGTGTGTATATATAATAGTAAAGACTGTAAATTTCAGTAACATTAATGTGAGTAATAAATTTTAAGAAAAGGCTTATATGACAAAAGAAAATACAAAATGAAAATGATGAAAACCACAGAATATGACATTTCCCAGCTTAACCTTACATTTAGCTACAAAGCACTTATAGATTATGTACAAATAGATAATATTGATCACTTGAAAAGGATATGAATGTACCAAAATCTTAATAGCTATTTTCCTAAGAGGATTGAAGGGAGTTAAAATGTACAGGGCAGAGGTGGCACTGAACCGGAAGATGGCCTTCCCTTTATTCAATACTATAAAAGTCTGTAAGATAGGAACACAACATAGAAGTATAAAAGTATCAACCATTTAAACTCTGTTACCTACCTTCTGTTATTTGTCAACATGAGTTATTCTAATGTTGCAACTTTTTGATGTTCACCATAAGGACAAACTCTTCCAGGCTCTCTTAACTAGAAACAATATCCAGTGATATCACTTACCTTTGACCTGATACTGCAGTTTTATTGTCTGTAAGACGGTTAGCCAAAATAATTTATTTATTTTCTTAGTATTTTAAATAGCTAAGTTAAATGAAAGTCTCAAAAGGGTGCACATTTCATTCTACAGATCCTTAAGGCACTGTAGTTCTTTTATAGTGATTTCAGCTTTCCCATTTTGATTATCTTAAAAATTAATGCTGTAGAATGCAAAATCATTCAATAAAACTAACACTTTTTAAAATATTCTTTTACCATTTCTGCTTATTAAAAAGCCACTCTGTTTATAATAGGAAATAAAAACAGCCACAAATAAACCCATTCTTGGGTTAGATGGATGTAAACCAGTGATTGATTTCTGGAGGCCAAGTTCCCTGGAGAGTATCTGTTGACTAGGAGTACTAAATCCTGTATTTGGATTTCTGAGTTAGCTGACACATTGAATTCCAGTCCCAACTGATTGCCTATTTCATGTAGTGCTTTCTTAGCATAGAGGAAAAGCTCAAAGACCCTGTAGAATCCAGGATGCATGGATGTGAATGGAATTGGCATTCCAAAATTTAGCCATATTTGAGCACGATTAGCAGTATGTAGACAAAACAACAACAACAAACAAAGCCACAGCATACAACCCTGGATCAAGGATTCTTACTCATTGTTTCTTAGGACCTTTATATATATTCAAATAGCCTGGGCGTGATGAAAGGAAGTCTATTTCTCTATGAAGAACACATCTTGGGAAGGGAACTACAAATCTTTTAAATTCACCCATTCTTTCAAAAATTCTACCCCCCTTCTAAGATGCATAGATGGAAGCCAGCATTACTACATAGCAAGCATTAACCTTATGTTCACTTTCTAGCAAGAATCTTTGACAAGGGTTTATTCTCTACAGTTAGTCTTCAGGTATTCACAGATTTCCCAACACTTTTTCCCCTCTATTTTCAGGGTTTTCTAAATCCAAGCAATCATTCCAAAATATTTACTGAGTTATTGTTTGAAACTAGCGCTTCCTGGCTGGTATGGGTAGAAGTGACCTAAATGAGAGCCTGGAACCTGGTCCAACCAGTGCTGATCTCCAACTTTTACCTGATCTGCAACATGACACTGAGAGTAAGCATTTAGAAATGTGTAAGCCAATCTGACAAACTAATTTTACATCTGTCGCATCTAATAATAAACCAGAAGAGTGTATTTTGTGGGCCTGTTTTTTCAATTTTCTGAAAATTAATTTTACTGCATTTTATAGACTAGCCACTTCATCTTCACAACGGAGAGTTTGAGAAGCATTGCTGTACATGTAACTTTGACTCCACGTTTCCACTTTCATCTTTGATGGACAATGGGTCAAGAATACAAAGAAAACTGTATCATCATATCCATTTGTAGAGGTAAGAGTTTCACATGTGCTTACTGGAGGAGCAATCACGTGTGTCTACAGTTCTTGATTCATGCAGTGTCCCTGTCCCTAAATGACATTGTGATATCATCATAAAAAGGGCACAGACTTGTGCAATGCAAATGCCTTTGTCCTAGGGAGTACACACGTGCAATGACACAGCAAGGCCCTGAGTGAGCTAATTTGGAACCAAATATGATCCACCTTGCAAACCTATTGCCTATGCTTCCTCTCCCCAAAATTATGCTGAGTAAACCCTAGAAGAAATATTATGGGCTGGGAGTGGGAGAGCCAGTAAAAACATGACATAGGATATATTTTTTAAAACTAAGTATCCCCTTGTTTCAAATAATATTACAAGCCTAATTTTGGAAAGGGCTTCCCTGGTGGCTCAGTGGTAAAGAATCTGCCTGCAATGCAAGAGATGCAGGTTCAATCCCTGGAGCAGGAAATGGCAACCTACTCCAGTATTCTTCCCTAGGAAATCTCATGGACAGAGGAGCTTGGTGAGCTACAGTCCATGGGATCGCAAAGAGTCAAACACAACTTAGTGATCAGACAACAACAACAAATTTTGGAGAAGTTACAGTCCATATGGGGCTAAATCATGAACTTGGAGAGGGGGATGAAGATGATCCTGGCTGTAGCTCAGTGGATAAGAATTAACAATCCAGCTCATCCTGAGGAGATGGGACCACACACAGTAAAGATCACCCGTGACTCTGGCTGTGTAGCCAGCCTCCAGCGCGAACCATGAGCAGATCTAACAGAGGAAGTAGAAAAGAGGGAGGGAGGGGGTGATGAAGCCAAAGGCAAAGCTGCAGAGACCAAATGAAAGGATGTAAGAGAGAAAGAACCTCTGCCCTAAAGACCAAGAAGAAAAAGAAGCAAGACTCTGAAACTGAACCAAGACGAGCCCAAAAAGGCATAGAAAAGAGCCAGAACTCAGCAGGGTGAAGCTAATGAACGCCACAGCACCCCTGATGCTGATAAACAATTCTCAATTTAAAAGTCCTTACGCATACAGAAATTAATACTTTGACTCAAAAGTTAAAGGCAAAAGGACACAATTCTCAATTGTTCAAGACAGATGGAGACTTTTACAGATTTTAGGATATTTTCACTTATTTACTTACAAAATTCAAAGAATGTATTTTTAACCTCATAAGTTAAGAAATGTGTGCACAGTGTGAAAGTGCTTACAATTAGAATGTATAATGAAATTAGTGAGGTTTTGCTATATAACAATGCTTGTTCTTTAATTTTTTGCCAGCAGTATAGTGAGAGAAGACATTCTTGATAGCATTCCTAGGAAGCTGATGATAAGACCAGCGTTAAGGGACCATTTCAGGGTTTCTTCTGTGAGGACTGTTGTTCCCAGGTTGAAACATATATATTTACATACAATCTACACAAATATTTCCTTGAAGTATTTATGGATTCATTTTAAACAGCTGACTTACAGAGAAACCTAATGTGAGAATCTTGAATCTGTAACCATTTTTATGTTAGTAAGTTCCATGTAGAACTTCAAATTTACTGTTTGTAATTAATCTCATATCTATTTCATCATCTATCTGTATTCATCCTCCCTATATTTACTTGCATATCCAAGAAGCCAAACATTTAGTTCGTAAGTATTAAGGATTAACGAAAAGGATGTGCATGCGTGTACATGCTGTCACTTACTTGCCGCAAAAGACTCTCAAATTGCCCCAAATAATGGTATTGATCGTACTGAAGGGAGATGAGAGTAAGAAGGGAATACTGTTTACTTACAAGTAGTCAAGTTAACTCTAGAATTTTCCAACATAGAGATATTTGCCTCCCTTGTTTCACAGGTAAGGGGTCAAAAAGAAAACAGCAGGGAAGGTAGGCAAGAAGTTTCTGTACTTTAAATTGTATAAACAAATATGTATGGAGAAGGAAACAGCAACCCACTCCAGTATTCTTGCCAGGAGAATTCCATGGACAGAGGAGCCTGGCAGGCTACAGTCCATACAGTCCCTGGGGTCACAAAGAGTTCGACACAACTAAGTAACTAATATTTTCACTTTCAGGCAAGATGTTTCTGTACTTTAAATTGTATAAACAAATAAGCAACTTTAAGCAAAGCAAGATTTATGACCTGTTCCACTGAGAGACATTTTTAACTATCTGCCCCTAATTTTTATTGTAAAATACACCAAATATAAAATTTACCATTTTAACCATTGTAAGTATGCAAGTTTGGTGTTGACTTTTTAAATGAATGTACTGAATGTCTTATTAGAGGAAAGTATCTTAACATTCTTTAAATCTAGTTAGTTTAATAAAAATTTCATCAACATAACTACCCAGGAAAATTTTTATTGCATTGTCACTTCAATAGAAAAGAAAAACTTCAGAATTGATTGTGGAGGAGAAAAGGCGATAAGGTAGTATTCCGCTTGAAACAGACTTCTTCTTTTTTTTAAACAGCCCAAGGCTGTAGGAAATTCATGAAGTCATTTTAACCTGAGAATAATACTGTGCCTCAGAACAAATTTCAAGACAGCATTTTGACTGAATTAGAAATGAGATGTTATATATAAAAACTTCAGAGGCACATTTGTAGGAATGTAACTCTTCATCTACTAGGTATTGATCAGGCTTGTCACTTATCTCTTCTATGGATCCTACCAAACTCAAGTAGCATTTACCAAGCCCCTGTATGTTAAGCTGTTAATATGTATGAGTGCTTCAGACACTTGGAAAGCAGCCTAGACCTAATTCTCAGTCCAATTGCTAATTCAATTCACTTCAATGCAGAAGATGTGTGTTAACCATTTAGCACAATATTCACAAAGTTCTGTGCTAAAGTTTGTAGGGAAAACAAAGACCCCCAAGAAACTTGGAATAAGTAGTAAGCTATGACCTCAAGAAGCCTGAAACCTAGTAAATGTTCAACTATCTACACTGAAAGAAGAAAATCTACAAGTATTAGTGAAAGTTTACTTAGACCAGAGCTACCAAATAGAGGGATTGGGGGCAGGAGGAGAAGGGGATGACAGAGGATGAGATGGCTGGATGGCATCACCAACTCGATGGGCATGAGTTTGAGTAAACTCCAGGAGTTGGTGATGGACAGGGAGGCCTGGCGTGCTGTGATTCATGGGGTCGCAAATAGTCGGACACGACTGAGCAACTGAACTGAACTGATCAAATAGAAATACTATGTGAACTACAAATCTGTGATTTTAAACATTCTAATAGCCATATTTCAAAAAATAAGAAAAAAAAAGCAGATGAAATTAATCTGAATAATGTTCTCTTTAACCCGGTATATCCTATATATTATCATTTGGGGATGAAATCAGTATTAAAAATTATTGAGATAATTCACATCCTCTTTTTATACCATTCTAAATCTTCAAAGACTGAACGTGCCACGTGTCAAATACATT